ACAACCAAAGCCCTCTTGACCTTCTCATGAGACTGTGATGGGTCACACATAATTCCAAATGGGTTCTTCATAGAATATTATCATGGATTTGGAAGAGACCCTCCAAGGACCATCCAGTCCAACCCCATTCTATGATGCAAGAAAACACACAGCAACCCCAAAATGTATTACTACTACTACTACTACTACTACTACTAGTGTTGTTATTATTATTACCCCGTGATCTACTGTTGGCCATCCACTGCTATGAAACACCACCCAGGGTCCATACTTACATGTCACTGGCCATGGAGTCATTGGGTGAAGAGCACCTTGAGATGGGAAGCGAGAAGGATGAGCCCACATGAAGGTGATGGAATCTGTCCAATGGGACCTGCCAGAGAAACGTACAGGTGGAAGTGAGGATGTCTGCTTGTAGGTCCAGAAAAAGAGCAGTTCAGAAGCAGATTCTCAAGCTCAGCTATACCTGTAACCACAAACCCTTTCTCCAAATATCTATCAGGGCCTGACCCTTTGGCTAAAGATCCCAGCTGGTCTCTTCAGGTCAATGTGATGGAGAAACCTCTCCAGGTTTTAATCCCTAGTCGGCTCACATTTAAGGGTTTCTGGATTTGATTAGAAGACCTCTCTAGGGATTTGTAGGTCTTCCAGCACAACGCTATGGTCAACTTCTTTAGGCATCTCAGAAGACCTCCCTAGGAATCTCTAAGTCTTCCAGCACAACGTTATGATCAACTTCTCTAGGCATCTCAGAAGACCTCCCTAGGAATCTCTAGGTCTTCCAGCACAACACTATGGTCAACTTCTCTAGGCATCTCAGAAGACCTCCCTAGGAATCTCTAGGTCTTCCAGCACAATGTTATGGTCAACTTCTCTAGGCATCTCAGAATACCTCCCTAGGAATCTCTAGGTCTTCCAGCACAACGCTATGGTCAACTTCTGTAGGCATTTCAGAAGATCTCCCTAGGAATCTCTAGGTGTTCCAGCACAACACCGGAGTTTCGGAGTGCGATGTCATCTGTACGCGGATGATGTCCAACTCTGTCACTCCTTTCCACCTGCTACTAAGGAGGCTGTCGAGGTCCTGAACCGGTGCTTGGCCGCTGTGACGGTCTGGATGGGGGCGAACAAATTGAAATTGAATCCAGACAAGACAGAGGTACTCCTGGTCAGTCGTAAGGCCGAACAGGGTATAGGGTTACAGCCTGTGTTGGATGGGGTCGCACTCCCCCTGAAGACACAGGTTCGCAGTTTGGGTGTGATCCTGGACTCATCGTTGAGCCAGGTTTCAGCGGTGAGCATTCGCACAGTTAAAACTCGTGCGCCAACTGCGCCCGTACCTTGGGAAGTCTGACTTGGCTACGGTAG